CAATGACTATGGAGGATAGAAGGAGAATTGATGCCTTGAGCGAACTGTGGTGCTAGAGAAGAGTATTGGATGTACCATGGACTGCCAAGAAAACAAACAGATTCATCATGGAGAGGATTAAACCAGGCTGCTCCTTGGAGGCAAGGATTCCGGGGCTTCTTCTGACATACTTTGGACATGTTGTAAGGAGGGACAGTCCTTGGAGAGGAACATCATGCTTGGGAGGGTGGAGGGATGGCGCAAGAGGGGAAGACCCTCTATTAGTTGGATTGATTTAGTTACTGGGGCAATCTGGATGGGTGTGTCAGAGGCAGTGTGATTGGCACAGGATAGAGCAGGGTTTAGGGCTGTTGTACATAGGGTCGCTATGAGTCACAAGTGATTCAATGGCACATAACAGCAACAACAATGTAAACGAGCATAAATCTTTTAAAAAAGGAAAAATAAAGTGACTTATGAGTGGCTGTTATATTTTTAGACTTTCTCTTATTTTTTTTATTTTATTGGTAAAAACATATTGGAAGTACAAGGAGGTGAGGGTTGGGGGCAGAAGGGTGAGGATGGGCAGGGATGAAAATTGCAGGGGTGCAGTTGCAGAGTTGCACAATTTGGTTGGACAGGGGAGCAGATGAAGGAAAATAAAAAGGATTCAGTGGGGATCAGGTGCTACAGGAGAATGGTAAGCATATTCTAATGGTGATTAAACCAACTGTCTTATTGATTTGGGAACTGGATGCAGACTCTCTGGCTTCTTCAGGGGCATAGATGTGAAGGGGAAAAGGGAGAACACTTTAACACCTTACTGGTGGTCTTGGGTTAAAGCTGCTTGCCTTTTTGTTCTGTTAGAAGATGTTTTCCTGACATTTTCTCCCCTCTGGACTGCAAAGTGTTTTCCCAGGTGGGTCCACTGGGGATGGCTGGTTGAACCCAGAGGATCCATCCTCCTTTGCTTCCTTAACTGGCAGTTTTATTTCCTTTTTGTCACTGTCATTGGGTTCAGGATCAGGTCTGGAGTAAAACTCAGTGTTAGGGTTACCTAT